GCCAGGGCTAGAGATCAGGCTTGGACATGTGAGACGGCCTAGCCAAAGTAGTCTATGACGTGGTCAGCGGAGTGTGCCACGACCACAACTATGTCTAGAGTATGTGCTTTGGTTTACCCTTTGCCGCGACCTTGCTGGAGTACATTCTTCTGGCAAGGTGGAGGCCATCGCTATTAGTAAGATTTAACTTTCTAGTAACTAGAAGCTACTAGGTGGAGGCCATTCCAACCCTCATCCCTTGTGATTGCTTCTGGCGCTGGAAAGAGCATTATCATTGGCCTGTTTCATTTACCACGGTCATGAGCCGCCCTTCTTTCAAGATGAATGTTAATTTATTGTAAATAGAGTTTGTGACTTTGATCCAGAGTATGACTTGGTTGAAGAGGATGAAAGCAAATTGGTCAGCTAGGTGGAGACTTGAGTGCTAAGTATTGTTTGCTTTGGGATTTTTGGCCGGAGTAAGCTTAAGGGTTGAATGTTTGCTTTGGCAAAAGGAGCACCAATGAAGAGTCAGTGAAGCAGCGTTCCTGATTGGCTCTGATTGTTTTGCTCGTCAGACTGTATATAAGTAAACCGTAGCTGCAGCTGTCTCCGTCGTCCATGGTAGTGAAACCAAGGACCTTTGGCAGTTGTGCAGTTTGTTTCACATAGAACCCAAACACTCCAACAAAGCAGATTGCAAGCTCCACAGGCTTGCAGATGACTCTCGACTTTAAGGTCGAGGAGTTAAAGTTTAATGATTTGACGTCCTGCCAAAAAGTATGGTGGGGATTGACATGTATGCTGCTGGCTGCGTAGCAAAGCTGCAGGCATGAAGCTCTATCTTCATCCAGAGCCGCGCTGGTCATTAATTATTGTTTCAATTGAATTCAGAGTGGCCTTCTAGATAGTAGCAGGCATAGTGTAATGTTCTCAATTGCGCAAAGCAATCGAAAGAAGTCAAACAAGAGCAGAGCAGCTGACTGGGACTTCAACCGCATGCATTCTGACCGCAGACATGTGAGCGTTGCATGCTGAATGCAGAAGCTGCACATGCAGTGGCTGCACAGACACGCACGCACACACACACACACACACTTTGACATTGGGTTTTCAGTTAACTCAATTCCCCGAGAAAAGGAATGGCTCAACGGCAAGGTGAAGCGTCCGATCACTTGAAGGTGATTGAAAAAAGTGTTTCTCGTGATGCATGACTGCAGAAAATTAGTTACTGATTCCTTAGCAGACCGAATTAACGCCGTGCATGGAAACCTGGTTTGGGGGACGTATCATGAAAACCACCATGAAAGCAAAAAGGAGAGTAGAACAGCTTGGACAACAGTTGATCGCAGGTACGAAGACACCCAGGTGGGGGGGTGTCTTCGTTGGCCGGAGACCCCCCACCTGGCTCCGGCCCCCTGCATGTAAAAACTCTTGGAAACAGAGTGTGACACACACTTGAGTTGGTTGCTCCGTAGAGCGCGATTTCAGGCTGCTTCGCGGAGTGCATTAGCCCTTTAGAGTTACTGCAGATTAGACCTTGACTGAAAAAAGGGTGCAAAGTCGGTCGAACAGAATTGTTGTAACAAATCATCGTTTAAGCAATTGAGAGCAGGTACACACTCAGGCGTCCCTGAATGCTTCCACCAGTCTTCTATAGCTTCGTTGGGCAACGTAAGAAGACTGGCCGTTGCCCCCCTGCTCATGGTCTGTACAAGAGTGCTTGGCTGAAGTAGTAGGAATAGCTAGAGTAGTGCCCTTGGAAACAGGGGTGGACACACACAGAAAGCCGAATCCGGCGAAACTAGAAACCGTCTTGGAAGCCAATCAGTCAGCTGAAGCTTGGTTTTCCTTTTTCTTTTTCTTTTTCTCGCCTTTGTTCTCTCGCCTTTTTCCGCCAGGGGGTGAAGGGGTGTTCGGGCGTGCATTGACTAAACGAGCCTGGATGCCACCTAACCAGCCTGAAGAAAAGAACAGGACAAACGAAAAAGGCAAGGAAAGAAGAGAAAGGTGCAGGGGGTGCGGGGGCCGAGCAGGGCGTGCGTTGACTAAACGAGCCTTGATCATACCTAAAAAGCCTGAAGGAAGGAACAAAACAAACGAAAAGGCAAGAAAAACAAGAAAAGGTGCGCGGGGTGCGGGGTCGGGATGGCTCTTACGAGCGAACGGTACGGGCCCATGGGCACTGTCCGAGAAGCCGAATCAGCGCTTTGTTAAATTTATTAAAATTATGAAAATTGTTTAAAAATTGGAACAAGGAAACATCTCCGGTGTGAGACATGTTTCAGTGAAACTCTGCAGTATATTTCAGTGGAAGTTTCAGTGAAACTCTGCAGTAACACTTCACGTGTGCAAGGTGAGACAGTCCAATCAAGCTGATTTCAAGCAAGAAAATCCAGTCGTGTGAGCTTCAGAAAAGTTTCAGGAAACTTACTCCTGCGGTGAGGAGTGAGAAGGTTCTTGCAGTAACGGCGCCCCGCAGGGATCACACAGCTTACCACAGTGGGAAGAAGCTGCGAAGACACACTTGAGTTGGTTGCTCCGTAGAGCGCGATTTCAGGCTGCTTCGCGGAGTGCATTAGCCCTTTAGAGTTACTGCAGATTAGACCTTGACTGAAAAAGGGTGCAAAGTCGGTCGAACAGAATTGTTGTAACAAATCATGGTTTAAACAATTGAGAGCAGGTACACACTCAGGCGTCCCTGAATGCTTCCACCAGTCTTCTATAGCTTCGTTGGGCAACGTAAGAAGACTGGCCGTTGCCCCCCTGCTCATGGTCTGTACAAGAGTGCTTGGCTGAAGTAGTAGGAATAGCTAGAGTAGTGCCCTTGGAAACAGGGGTGGACACACACACACACACACTCAGCCGCTTTGCGGCGCTCTGGCGCAAAACCTAAATAGGCACCTAAATAGGCCCACTATCACCATTCCTATTTGTATTAGTCATGACCTGTATCGACATTGACATTCAACAAAGTATTTCCCCTTATGTGATGAATAGTCGAATCCCAGGGGTTAATTTTGACATGATCTATTATGCAGGTGACACTGTACTTTTCTCACGGAACAACCGAGCATTAAACGAATTGCTGAAGTTGACAGAGAAAATCTCGAGTGGATACGGACTTGGTCTCAATAAAAACAAGTGTGTTGCTATCACTATGAACAAGGACGGTTGTATTCATTTTCATGAGGGGTCCCCTTTGAACAAAGAATTTGAGGCCATGTATCTTGGAAATGAGATAAACAGGACTGTAAAGATAAAACATGAAATCCTCAATAAAATGTCAGAGGTCGGAAGGACCTGGTTTAAGCTCAACGCCTATTGGAAAGCTTCTGGAGCCAGCAAAAAGTGGAAGCTAATCATTTTTGATGCTATAATCCGGAGTGAGCTTTTATATGGGTTAGAAACTATACATTTAACCCAGGCGCTGAGCAAATCACTAGATGCTTTCCAATTAAGAAGCTTGAGAGAGATTCTCAAAAGACCGCCTACTTTCATAGATCGGTCATGTACGAATCAAAAGATTACCATATGAACAGACGATGTAAATTACTTGGGCATATAATTAGAAGCAGTAATGATGACCCCATGAGGAGTATCGCTCGTTGATAGCACTGCATCTAGAGTTGATTACGGCACCAAACGAGTTGGCAAACCGAGGCAAAACTGGCTGCGTATCACAAACAAATTTGCGTACGAAAACGTTTTAAGACATCATAATTTCGATGAAAACACCGATGATGCAAGAATATATGCAGCCGCATTGAACAGAGATTTTTAGTTACCGTTCTTTGGCTGTGCCAACGCCTTGCAATAAGCCCGTCCGGACCAGGTCGGCGCGAGGTATGGCTGAAAAAAAGCCTTAGAAAAGAAAGAAAGAAAAACGGAAAGAGCAGCGTAAAAAGGGCAGGAGAGAAAAATAGGTGTAGCAAAAGGTGAATACTTAGCCCTTGACTGGGGCAGGGAAACGAGCCTCAAGAACCACCTAAAAAGCCTGAAAGAAAGCCCAAGAAACGACGAAAGAAAGAAAGCGGGGGGCAGGGAAGGGGTGTGTGTCCATGTGTGTGTACATGTGTGCGTCTGAATACTTAGCGCTCTAGAGTTACCGAATACTTATCAGAAACTAATTAGGCGCAATAGTTAGGGGGCGTGACTTTAGTCTTAGACCGCCCGGGTAGAGTAGACTAGAACAGGGACAACAGAGGGAAAGGCACCGACGCACAAGTGTGTCGAGTACCATTTCCCTCAGTTACCCTAATTAGGTGAGGTCATTCTCCGTACCCGGCGGCTTTGACTTTCCGTATACCCGGTGGTCGTAAAAACCGTGGTACCCCGCGGCTTGGATTTTGGGAATACAGTGGTGAAGCAAAGTCGGTTAAGATAATCCAACGTGTGCGGAAAGCAGCAAAATCCTTTAGTGATACTCCGGCATGAAAACAGCGCCCCAGTGACGGGGATCACACCCTGCACCCAAGGCGGACGGCAGAGCGGCGCACACTTTGACATTGGGTTTTCAGTTAACTCAATTCCCCGAGAAAAGGAATGGCTCAACGGCAAGGTGAAGCGTCCGATCACTTGAAGGTGTTTGAAAAAAGTGTTTCTTCTCGTGATGCACGACTGCAGAAAATTAGTTACTGATTACTTAGCAGCCCGAATTAACGCCGTGCATGGAAACCTGGTTTGGGGGACGTATCATGAAAACCACCATGAAAGCAAAAAAGAGAGTAGAACAGGTTGGACAACAGTTGATCGCAGGTACGTTTGCACCCAGGTGGGGGGTGTCTTCGTTGGCCGGAGACCCCCCACCTGGCTCCGGCCCCCTGCGTGTAAAAACTCTTGGAAACAGAGTGTGACACACACACACACATGTTTTCTCCAGACTAAGGAGCAGCTCCAAGCTTGTGAGAACAGATGTGTGTATACCAGATGAAACGCGGTCCAGTTTAAAGCCAGTTTAGTTTTTCCGGATCGTTTTTTGTCAAAAAGGAAGAGCAAATTGATGCGAATCCGCTTGAGAGGCTTTGTTGTGGAACTGCTTTGGTTGCCTGAGACATATCACTACCAGGCTGGCATCTTGCAAGCGGACGAAATCGCATTGAAACAACCAGATGCATTCTTGTTGGACCATAGATTCAGTATGGCGCAATGTCTTTCCACGCTGAGAGAAATGAATCTTTCCGAATGTAGGAAAGTTCACTGTCATTCAGGGTATCTCACATATCTTGCTTCCCTTTCCAGGTCAGGAAACACCATCAACACGAAGCCTTGGGGGTCATTGATTAGCTTCTCGTAGGCTGCAGCTCTGGCAGACTTGCCGCAGAGTGCCAAAGACTTAGTCATGGGTCAAACTTATCCTGTGGATGGGCTTCACAATTGTTGTTGGAAAGATACCTGGGCCTACTGAGGCTCCCTTGATCCAAGACCTTGTCTTGCTCAAGCCTCAGTCCATTCAGGGGAGGAGAGCTCCTTCCTTAGACCATGAGCCCCAAACAGTATCTGGGCTAATCCTGAACTATTTTCATTTTTCAAACTCTCTGGACATTTTTGAGTGACACTGCGCTAAACATGTTGTATTAGCGCAGTTTCACCCGGCACGGCTGAGGCTGGGAGGCGTCAGAACCTCTGCCGAGCCAGTGGAAGCGATTCGGGAGCGATTCCGAGCAAAGGTTGTGATGTAAGAGAAGGCAAAGCGACAAAGATAATTCTTTAAGGCTGCAACATGGACCTCTCAGTCAGTTCTTTCCTTTCCCATTCACAGTAGGAGCCCTGCCAGTACCAGCTGAATGACTCCCAGTCGGAGGTGTGAATGAGGGGAGGATGGAGAAGTTACTTGGGTGTTCCTGTCCTTCTTCAAACTCAGCAGCAATCTGGAGTGTCTTTCAGTGAGATGTCACGGGGCGACTGAAAGCTACACTTTGCAGTGACACCCACCGCTGCTACCTGGGTCTAGCATATTGCAATATGAGGACAAAGTTCATCGGCTGTTCCACTCTTGTCAGCAAAGTGTTGCAAAACATCAAAACTGGTCAAATGTTGCCAGGCTGTGCGATCGGCTTTGACATGGCAGGGTCTCCCTGGGGGTTAAATGCCTGAGAGCTGCAAGGATGTTCAATGATGGCATGCTTTTGCCAGATCATGGTGGGTAGCAGCAAGGACGCTACTAGGGGCTCCTGGCATCGCTACTAGGAGCACGGACGCTACTAGGGGCTCCTGGCCTTACTACTAGTAACAAGAAGCTACTAGGGGCTCCTGGCCTCTCAGCTTCTCAGCCTTGGACATTGTTATCTGAGGCCAGTGACTTTGATCCATGGCCCACCTGGTACAGGCAAGACCAGGACATGGGAAGATGAATGGCTTGGGTACGGCCAGGAGCCCCCAGTAGCGTCCTTGCTCCTAATGCTTGGGTGTTGAGGCGAAGCTAAGGTCAAAGTGCTTCTTTGACTTGTGAGTCTTGTTCCGCGACTTTCCCACTTGTGCTTGCCGGTAGGGTGCATGAAAGGCCTCAGCTTTGAATGACACCCTGTCCGCAGACCAAGTGGCTACAGGACTGCAGCAGTAGTAGCCCTGACATTCGCCAGTCAAAATGCACAGAGCTCGGTTCCAACCTCAGGAAGATTTTTTGGAATTCCTTTGAACTGGCTGGCTATTTTCTGGCTATATAGCGTTTCTTCACTTGGCCGTATTTGCGTACAATACTCTTTTGGGAGCACCGATGACCACTTGCAGAGGTTGCATTCATACAGAACTATGCATCCGAGGTGTTTGAGATTTTAATGTATGTATGTATGTATGTATGTATGTATGTATGTATGTATTTCTTTTTTTCCTAAAGACTTTTGTGTCTGCAGAACGAGAGGTGCTTTGACCTATGCCGCACGGCTGCCAGCTGCAGGCTAGAAGTAGTCGACGTCGAGGACCGGGTCTTCTGTGCCACTTTCGGTGTCCTCGCCATAGGAATCGGAGGAGCTTGACCTGCCTCTTTTGGCAGCATGTGGCAGCAAAGCCTGCGGTGCATGCGGCATTTGCCAAGGCGCTTGGCTTTCAGGCTGGGGTTCATGGCCTGTGTCG